CAATTTTATTGTGAATGCAATTGAAAAATTTTAGTTGAAGAAATTAATTTTGGATGTTGCGATTAAATTCTTTTTGATAATAAAATTAATAAAAATTTATTTTTGTTTTCGCAGAATTATCTGATTATAATCCGCAGAAAGCAGGGCCTGATTCGAGATTTCACATTTTCTATTGACGATCCTTACAATATTCAAAATGCTGCTTTATTTAACATCTAGATATTTGTTTCCTACGTCAAGGTTCTTACCCTTAAAGACTTTTCAATATTGTTCAAACATACTTTTTTCAAATAATTATATTCACAATTCCAAACTTCCTTTCCTTAAAAAGAATAAATTTTATTCTACGTTACTTTTAAACGATACGATTTATGCTTTATCAACCGCTCAAGGAAAGGCCGGAGTTGCAATTATACGTGTTTCTGGCTCTAATTCTTTACAGGTTGTTTTGATTACCTGTTACTGAAATTCAAAAAAAAAAAAATCTATTAACTTATCGAAAATAAAATAAGGCCATCGAACAAATAACTGCTGACTTTTCTGAAAAACCAGTTCCTCGTAAAGCCACGTTAAAAACGATTATTCACCCGAAAACTAAAGAAGTAATTGACCACGGGTTAATTTTATGGTTTCCAGGTAGATCCTTAATTAATTTTCACACGTTCGTTCGAATTATAATTTTATAATTAATTTAATTTAATTTTCAAGGACCGAAAAGTTATACAGGCGAGAATTTAGTTGAATTTCATATACATGGAGGTATTTCCGTTGTGAGAGGTGTATTAGACGCGCTAGGGAGTATGGAAAATTTCAGACACGCAGAAGCTGGGGAATTCACGCGTAGGTACATAAATAATTCATCACCATCATCATCATCGTCATCATCATTTCTCAATTGAATAATAAGGATTGAATATCTTAAAGGGCTTTTGAAAATGATAAATTTGACTTGACGGAAATCGAGGGCATTGCCGACTTGTTAAATGCAGAAACCGAAGCTCAGAGAAGACAAGCATTACGTCAGGTCCAGGTACGCTAACATGTATGCGTTGTATAATTTGCGTTTTTATGCTTACATATTCAATTAATTTCGATTGATTAAGGGTGGATTGAAAATTTTATATGAAGATTGGAGAAAGCAATTAATTAATAATATGGCATCCATAGAAGCTATTATAGACTTTGGTGAAGATGAAAATATTGAAGATGGAGTTTTTGAAAAAGGTAAACTTATATCATTCTTCTTTTTTTAAATTGAAAATTTTTAAGATTGCTAATATTTAGTGTTACTAATAGTGGCGGAAAATGTAAAAGTTTTGAAAAATGTTATTATCGAACACTTGAACGATAATCGTCGCGGGGAAATCTTACGAGACGGTATTCGCGTGACAATTTTAGGCCCTCCAAATGTTGGCAAAAGTAGCTTCCTGAATTATTTAGCTCAAAGAAAAGCCGCTATCGTATCACCGATTCCCGGGACTACACGTGATATCGTCGAAATTTCTTTGAATTTTGGAGGGTATCCAATAATAATCAGCGACACTGCGGGCTTAAGAAATTCAGAAGATGATGTTGAAATCGAAGGAATTTCAAGGGCAAAAGATCGGTAAAAAAAAATTTACTTATCATTTGTTAAATGAAAGACATATTAACAATC